TTCAGAGATAGTTATAGATATGTTTCAGTTATCTGGCTTTTCAAATCTCAAAGACAGACACATTACATTTAATTTAACAAATGACAATTTAATCCTGAGAAATAAAACTTCCAGAATACTAAACCAAAATGTACACAGTAAAAACCAGGATTCTGTTAAAAATGAAGGAAAAATCCCCAACCTTTGTGTAACATTAAAACACACAGGATCATTAAAAAATTTTAGCTATATTGATAAAAGCAAGTTCAGTAACTTATTTAGCTATGTCTGCTTATTAAAATATTTTGGTTATAATAAATACATAGATATAAAATTTTATCAACATTAGCCCACATTTATAAATCATCTTCAATAGTACCTAAATTCCTTATAGAATTTCAAATAGCAAAAATAGGCATATAAATTTCAAGTAAGAATCTCAATCTATGAGGTTTCTTTAATTCTAACTGAAAAATTCTGAACATACCATATCCTTGGATTATTTCTGTAAATTGGTATAATTTAATTATAGGTTCAAAAAAAAGGATGGTCAATGGGCAAGATTTCTAAGGCATTAAAAAAGCTCAATACAACCAATTCAAATTAGATATTGTGTTGTGCCTTATGTAAAGAAGACTCTAAGGAATCACAGATTTTATACTTGTGCACTAAGAATGCATGTTCTAATTCAGACAAGTAGCTGGTTCCGTCAAACCCAAACCCAAAGAAAGTTTTGTATCACCCTTTGTGAGAGAATAAACCCACAATACCAGCACCTTTGTTTAAATTGACAAGAATCATAACTTGAAGTGTCCAGACAACCTGATGAACTCAATGGTCTAAAATAACTGGAGGAAATACTCTTCCTTCACTTTTACAGAAATTGGATTTATTGGTATTAGTATCTGGTTTGTCAAAGTGGCAACTATTCAAGATCTAAAAGACTCATTTATTTTAAACACATAGCCTAATTCTGACTACTTATAGTCAATATAACTGTCTTAAACCAAAATGCAATGTAAATGTAAGATAAACTGCAAAGGTTTTATAGGTATTAATGGCATTCTGAAATCTCTGGACAGAAGACTATTTTGGGGAGGGAGGAAGTTCCTCTTCTCCACTGATAGTTTAAGCATTTCCAATCAATTTTGATTTAATAGTGGTTAATGGGATTAATTTTTGAGTTCTTATAAAGTTGTAATTGCTTCCAAAATCAGAAACCACAAGATGATGTACTCAAATGCTACACTGATATAAGGCTGTTATGGAGGTATTTACAGAGAAGTGCAGATAGGAGCTCAGTTGCAAACACAAGTTAACACACAATGGATTCCAAAATAATATTTTTTTCGTACAGTATGGCAAGAAAAAATACTCTGGATAAAGAGTCTAAAATTCCAGCTCTAATTTTAATCCATTTCTACAAATCATAAAAACAAAGGAAACAGGCATTTATTTCAGAAACTCCATATACCTGTGGAAAATGGAAAACAAGTAAATTTTATTCAAGATTAACTTTAATCTCAAGTACAATACACCTAACAATTTACATATTTTAAATTTTGTGAATACTGTAAAAATCTAAACCATTAGAGGCAACAATAGTTTCTGATCAGTAAATATTTTGTTAAATAACAAATAAACTTAAAAGATGCAACTGATAGGTCTCAGGATTTCAAATCTTTTAATTTCAAAGGCGCAGAGTTATAGCACATGTATAGGATGGGCTTTAAAAATGGGTATACGTAAACTTTTCCATGGTGTTGGTGTATGTGCTTTTTTTTTCCTTAAAGAAATGCCTATTGCTTCCAGTGCTAAAGAATCTCCACCAATCTGTCTACAGTTTTCAACCAGAAGTCCTCATTGTACCTAAAGCCAAATTGAATATTAGGTATTTTACAGCTTTTTACAAAATGGCTGTAAAATCACATTATAGGCAAACACAGCTCTTTGATCTCACTGCAGAGAATTCATAACTGTTCAATAATGCTATACCATTACACCACACACCTTAAACTATTTCCATTTTTCCACAATCCCTTCCAAAATCAGCTTGCAAAGCAAAGCAATGTAACATGAAAAGTTCCTGGGAGGGCTTGTTACACAAAAGAACAATTTGGAAACAAACTAATCTACACAATATCCATCTTCTGTTGAGCTTGTTTATCCCTCTTTTGCCTCCATCACTCTTAAAGGTGGATGCACTTGAGTAATGGAAAGAAAAGGCTCTTCCATCACCACACACCCTTCCAGCACTTCTGCTTTTGGTCCTCAGACAGTGATTCTGTGTAGGTGATGAAAATCATAAGAGAAGCTGTCCCTTTAAAATGCCCTGCTCTGTCCCATATCCCACGTGGAACCAACATCAGCAGCACTTTCCCATTAACTTCAATGTAATTCAAGAGGCATCATGCTTTTAAATACATAAAACCAGAAATCCTCAGGTCACTAAATCACAGCTGACCTGTCACCTGTTAATGGTCTAACTTGAGTTCTGGTGTCTCTTTGTTAATGAAAGGGAGATTTTCCACAATTCCTTCCAAAATCAGCTTGCAAAGCAAAGCAATGTAACATGAAAAGTTCCTGGGAGGGCTTGTTACACAAAAGAACAATTTGGAAACAAACTAATCTACACAATATCCATCTTCTGTTGAGCTTGTTTATCCCTCTTTTGCCTCCATCACTCTTAAAGGTGGATGCACTTGAGTAATGGAAAGAAAAGGCTCTTCCATCACCACACACCCTTCCAGCACTTCTGCTTTTGGTCCTCAGACAGTGATTCTGTGTAGGTGATGAAAATCATAAGAGAAGCTGTCCCTTTAAAATGCCCTGCTCTGTCCCATATCCCACGTGGAACCAACATCAGCAGCACTTTCCCATTAACTTCAATGTAATTCAAGAGGCATCATGCTTTTAAATACATAAAACCAGAAATCCTCAGCTTAACATTCTTTACTGAGGATGAACAGGTGAAGCAAACGTGTCAGGAAGGGAGAAGCGAAGCAATCCCCACCCCTCCCCAAGGTGCTCCAGTCTCGCACTCCAGTCTCGCACTCCAGTCTCTCAGTGCAACATCACCTCTCTACCCCTCCTCTGTAGAGCCTAGTTTAAAGAAAGGAGGGAGCCACTAACAAAACCTGAAGCATAAATGCGACGAAAATGCAATCTAAAGCCGGAAAGGTTTATTCTTCCAATCACACATATTAAGTCCATTAAGAAAAATGGCATCACTTTTTTTCCCACCAACCCCCCCCTAAAAAACCGCAAAGATCATTAAAAGAGAGTTATAAAATAGCAAATATAGTGTTTATCTTATCTCAGATCAGTCCACATTACCAATAAGTTTAGCAGTTTCTGCACTACCACCTCCCCCCTCCCTCCTCCTCCTCCTCTTGCATCGGATTTTCACGTTTTCTCATTGTCGGTTGAGTTATAAAGGGCTTTTGCCCTTCGAAAGTTTCAAAAAATAAATAAATATTAACTCCTTGGTCCCTGCAAAGTCAAAATGGACTTCAGGGGAAAGGCGGTTCATACTTTTACCTTTAGCGAAAAAAGGGGGAGCATCCCGGATTTTTAGGGATTTTTTGCGATTTTTTAAAAATTTTTATTTGGTTATATGCCTGAGTTCTCCCTCCATTTTGGTTGTTTATGATACTGACAACAAGCTGTCCCTGCTCTGTGCAGATCTCCTGCTTTCATTTAGCACCCCCTCCCCCTACCCCCCCCTCGCAGCCACACATCCAGGGTTCACACCTCCCCCAAGACCCCGCACCCGGACCCCGACTCGCCCACCTGAGGAAAGGGCAAAAACAAATTCATCCCCCCCCCCCAAAAAAACCCCTCTTTTGAAAAAGGGGCAAAGTTACCCCAAGTCACTCAAAGTGCCCCCCAAATATTGCCGACTGCGGGTTTCCGCCAGGCCCTTTAGGAAGAGACCTTCCCCTGGGATGTTTTGGTGGAAAACGCGGAGAGTTTACTCTCAAAACCGAATTTATATTAATTTTTCCCTTATTTTTCGGGTCTCTAATGTCTTCCGCTCTCGCTGCTGCCGCTGCCGCTGTCACAATATTCACAGCACCAGAGAGGAGGAGGAGGAGGAGGAGGAAAACTTTTCAAACTTTCCAGACCCTGAATAAAGGGTTTTTTTTTTTTCCCACCGACCTCACCTTTGGGTCTCCAGCCGCATCGCCCCCTGCCCAGTCAGCAGCGACTTCGGGAGTCCTCACACCCTTGCTTGGTAATTTTATTTTATTTTTTATTATTATTTTTCTCTCTGGGGTCCTGAGCAGGGGCTGAGAGTAGCACAAACTTTTCCTCCTCCTGCCGCCGCCGCTGCTCCTCTGCCCCCTCGGCTAGTCCCATAATTTAAATAACCCTGATATTTCTCCCGCTAAACGCCTCTCCGCCGCCCCGGACCCCGAGAGAACTCACCGCAGGGCTTTAACATCCTCCCTCCGGCCCGTCCGCCGCCTTTACACCGCCCGCGGAATTTCTAATAATTTTTTTCTCATATTTCGGGCTGGACGCGGCGGGCCTGGAAATTGTTTCCTTACGCCTCTTTCCAGCAGCCATTGTAGTGTATGCGCTGCCCCTGCAGCC